GCGACTCTAAACCCTCAAAAAGACCAGTCGGGACGTCACTGTGAGAATGGAGCAAACGCTTTTCAAGACATGCAACTCAAACAGAACCGACAAGGTATTTCTGAGCCCTCTGAAGAACGTCCTTCAATGACAGGGATGCTTCTTCAAATCAGTAGAATGCCTTGCCTCCTGAATCAGGGTGTGTGTCTTTCTGATCTAGCTTCCGTTCCTGACACTATGCCTTACACAAACATTTATGCCTCACATGCTAAACATACTTTAAGGCCAGGGAGATAGCTCAGTAGAGTAAGTGCTCGTCTGGCAAGCGCAGGGTTCTGAGTTCAATCCCTAGTACCGCAAAAAATAAATAAATAAAATAAAATAAAATACTTTGACTCCATATAATCAACTTGAATCTATTATACCTGCCTAATGTGAAACTGTTATTATTTAGTAAACATTTTCTTTATTTTTTTACTTTTCTTTAGTGTTTTAGGGAAGGGTCTACAGGATGTTCAGGGTCTCACTACTAGATCTGACTCCTAGTGATCCACCTGTTCACAGCCTCCCAAGAGCTGAGATTACAGGCGCACCACTATGCCCAATCTCAATTGCTGTCTCAGTGTACTCTGAGGGCAGGGCTGGCACAGCAGGCCCAGGGATCAAGCCCCTGGCCCTTGCGCCTGCTTGCAGGTGCTTTAATCTGCTGAGCTACTTGGCTGGCCCTTAATAAACATTTTGACAATGCTTATGTCATTTATCCTTATTTTCCCTAGGGTTATTAAAAATCAAACTCAAATACAATCAAACTTTTAGAATTCTGAGTATTTTTATTTATTATCTTTCCTTAACAGAAACATCTAACACTGTATAACATTTTTAAAATGATGTCATTTAATCCACATATAAAATCAAAAGCTGTATACTATATATTACTGTTCTCATTTTAAAAAGGAAATAGCCTTGTAATCGTAACTGGTTAGAGGAGTGCCAGGAGTTGAACAGATTCCTACCTTTCCATTATCACCTCCACTTCAAAAAGCTCTTGGAGAGCTTAGCAGTGCAGAATGCAACTAATTCTTTTCTCAGACTCTCAGATACATGCCTATTTTCTCTTGGCATCTTCTCACCCAGTTAAAAGAGGTGTTGGCTTCAATAGGAAGCCGTCTTGAAAATAGCATTCAAAAGCATAAAAGTAACTTTTTTCATTTCCATTCACAATTCAGTTTCATACATGTAGCCCATTCACAGATGTATCTTCAGTTCCATCTACTTAATTTAAAAAATACCACCAATTAGCTATTTGACTCTTCACTTACTGCTTCCCATGTCTGAACTCTCTCTAAAGTGGAAGAAGTTGATTAAAGAACTCATTTTATTCCAAAATTCTATTATTCTTTTAATATAAATTGAACCCCACTAGTGATATGTTTATAAATGTTTTAATAAAACCATTTGGTATTTCAACTTGACCAGGCTAACAAGATGATGCATGATAAATGGGGCTGGATGTCAGAAAACCCAAGTTTTAATTCAAAAATCTGTTCTTTTGAATCATATGAAACACCTACTAAATGCCAGCCACTACTGTTTCGGACATTTTGAATACAACTGAGAATATTGAAGACAAAGCCTTATTCTTACGTCCCTGTACTCTGGCAGTGGCAGTCAGGTGACAGACTAGTAAGTAAGAACAGCATCAGGCAGTTCTGAGGGCTTGTGGCAGGCACAATTCTTACTGGTCCCTAAGATTCCCTCCACTTGTGCACATATACCCTGTCCAGTTAGTTCAACCAAACCTTAATCTAGGTGTCGCTGTGAGTGAAGGGATTATGTAGATGTAATTAAGATCTCAAATCAGTTGACCTTGAGGAGAGGAAATTACCTTCACGGGTCTGACCTATATAGGTGAGCCTCTAACAGGATCTGGGCTCTTTTGGGTCAGAGCAATCTGAAGCAAAAGAGAAATTCCAAGCAAGGGAGACTCTTCATTTCTGGCTTTGCAGATGGAAAGGGCCAGAGAGGAGGACTGGTGTGTGTCTTCCATAAGCTGAAAGTGGCCCCACAGAAAGGAACTGAGGCCTGCCACCATCATAGGAGTCTGGAAGAGGACCCTGTGTCCCAGCCCAATACCTTGATTTTAGCCTTGGAAGTCATTGAGCCGAGGCCCTAGCCACAGTGTGCCCAGGCGTGACTACAGAACTAATAAATTCAGCTGCTAAGTTTGTGGTAACAAGTTATAGGGTACTAGAAAGTAAATATGGTATTATACAGACCATCAGAGACAGTGATATGATAGATCACCATGGGGGCTGCTTTGAATGAAAGGATCAGAGGTGATATCTAACTTGCAATCTAAACAAAAGAAGATTGAACTATGCAAAAAATGGAGAAAGAAATATTTTAGAAAAAAGGAATCCAGGAATAACCGTGGTGTGACATAAATGATGTACATCCAAAGCACAGGAAGTGCAAAGCTGTGTGTGGTGCAATCAGATATAGAGATCACCTGGCAACTATGGGAACTAAGTCACAGAGATCAGGCTGAATAGAAGCCCCTGCTGCTGCCCAAGGAAGGCTGACAGTGAGCTGCCTGACATAGGGGTAGTGGCAATGGGATAAGCAGAAAGGCTTAAGGTATGCTGTAGGCTATGCTCGCTAGTATTGTGGTTGCTGGAGCAAAGGACAAGCAGAGCCCACTGTAATTCCCACATTTTACAACAGGCAGGCTCAGGGGAGAACACTTGCTCAGCACACTCTGAGCCCTATGGTCAGGGCCCACTACTGAGGGCTAAAGGCATATTTTTACACAACACAGCATGAAGAACCACACTATCTGTGCATAGAACTTTCTGCTTCATTCTCACTAAAGAATTGGTAATAGCCCTTTTCAGTCTCTGGATAATTTCCTGTCCTATATTATTCTTCACTGAGAGGCACATTGTTTTGTTTTTTTCTTTGGTGGAACCAGGGATTGAACTCAGGCCCTTGCACTTGCCAGGGAAGTGCTTATTCCACTGAGCCATCTCCCCAGCCCCGTCCTATATTATTCTTAACCCACAATAATGATACTAATGAAGCAAAATAGCAGATCATTATTCCTAGGTACCACATGCTACTCTAAGATGCAAGTGCCCTGACATGCATTCATGGTTATATCTTTTATTTATTTTTGGTGGTAATAGGGATTCAACTCAGAACCTTGCACTTGCCAGGGAAGCACTTATTCCACTGAGCTAGCTCCCCAGCCTCCATGGTTAAATCTTTAGTCTTCACAATCTTTTTTCCTTTTCTGATTCCTTCTATAGCCTGATGGAGCTATTTCTTTACTTCATAATTGTCACAAACTTTTCAAAGTATAGGGCAGTTTTTAGTTATTCAGTCTGTTGAACATAAAAACTACTGTAAAGCTACAGTTCTGTCAATCTTCTGTGGCCTACAGTATGGAATTCCTGCAATTATGAGGGTTAGTCAAAGGTTCTCTGCTTTTGGCATGTTTAGACATCCTTCTTGGTCAAAATTTCACTTGAAAATAGAATACCAGCTTACCCAGAATCATAAAACTGTGCAACACCATTTGCCATCTACCTAACCATAGTTTGAGAGGTTGTGATTTAATGCATAACCAATGGAGACAATGTCACACAGCTGGAACAGCACCCAAGGTGTCAGAGCTAGCAAGGAAGAGGCAGATACTAGGATACTTGAACTTTATCCTATAACTAGCAAATACTATCAAAGGGCTTTAAAAATGAAATAATATTTGATCGTGGAGGACCACCGGGGCGATTCTCCTTAAAGGACAAGCAACTGTCTCCATTTTGGCTGAACCTGGCTCTACGTCCATGTGCTGATGTGTACAGAGCTGGCTAGGACTTTTCCTATCCCCTCAATTGGCTTTAATCAATGCATATCAGTCCAGCTGAGAGACTGGTGGTAGTCTCTGAAGATCGCAGGCAGTGTTTCCCTGGAACCTTCACCTGCTGCTTCCTAGTGCAAGCCAGGATAAGACAGGATGAAGAGCCAATGCTCCATGCTGTTGGCTGGGATGAGCCTCGAGATAGAGGCTATGACTTCCTGAGGCTTGAAAGATTACAAATCAGAGCTGAAGCACCAGTTGTGTTGTGCAGATTACTCTTTCTGCATATCCTTCTCTCTACAAATGGCAGAGGTGATTTCAGGCCTCCTACCTAGCCCAGCTCACAGCACTTATGTACTTTCGGCCACTTTCACAGTCACTCATCATCAAGCCACTATTTTTTTCATGAATATAGTCCAGGTTTGGCTCAGGGTCAAGGCCTTTGTTCCAGATAGCCATCATCATGGCTGGACTTAGGACCCCTTGGCCCCTCATAACTCTATATATGCCATGGTGCCTTTATTCTCATCATGGGTTGCATTGAAAGTGGTAGATTGATAGAATTAACTCACTAGAATTTGAATAACCTCTCCATGGGATTACAAATATAAACTTCCTGGGCCTCGACAAGGACCGAGAAGGGCTCTCTATATTTGATCACTGGCAGCAGGGTGAAACTGGATCTAACTCAGATGAGGCACACCAGTGAGAAGGAAATTCCTACATGAGGTAACATCTAGAAGCCTTGAGCACTGAACATGGGCCTGCAAAGGGGCTGGGATTGACAAGAATCCTTCTTAGGTTTCAACCTGAGTGCCTGATAAGGGCTGATTCCTCAAGTGAGAAACGCACATAGCAAATGGGTCTGGAAAACTTGAACCCACTGATCCCTAAAAGTCTTTCACTATATTTCATTTCATAGATTAAAAAATTATGATCAACATACACTAAACACTCTAGAGGAATAAACCAAGTCTCCTGCTGTCTGGCCTCATATTCATCCTATTAAAAATGAGTATTTTTATCTTTTTATAATTTTCATTTTATATGTTTTATAAATGCAAGTAGTGAAACCAGATTTTAAAGGTAAAGAGCTTCCTTTCTGAATATTACATATTAATAATTAAGGCAATAATTTTACAAGTAAGTTTTAGGTACTTACTTCAAATTCCTTTACAAAGTAACGAGTTTCACCTTGAATAACTGGTCTGTGGTCCAAAAGCCTTGACTGAATCTCTCCAAGATCTATAAAGATAAAATGAATTCAGAATTGGCAAATAAAAATTGATACATTTAAGGTTAAAAGATCACGTGTTAAATAATTACCATGATTTAGCTAGTTAATACATCCAACAGTTATCATTATTCCCCTGTGGTGAGATTACCTAAAGTCTATGGTTTTAAGAATTCTAAGAATAAAACACAGCACTGGATTATCTTTTAGTAAAGTATTACCTAAAAATTTACAATCTTTGTACATCAAAGAGCATATTCAACGAATAAAAAGTAACCCATGCAACAGGAGAGCTGAAAAATACTTATGGGGTTGGGGGTAAAACCCAGAATATTGAAAAACCACTCAACAACAGAAATCCTGATTTTTACAAATTGAACAAAGGAACTAAACAAGCATTTCTCTAAAGAACAGACATAATGGTCAGTACGTAGATAAAAAGGTGCTTAATACTGTTAACATTAGGGAAATGCAAGTTAAAACCACAATGAGTCATCACATCACCCAGTAGGATGGTCACTACCAAGGAAAGAGAATAACAAACGTTGTGGGGATGTAGAAAAACTGGAATCCTTGGATGGCTCGTGGGGATGTAAAATGGTACAGCTGGTATCACAAGTCCTCAAAACATTAAAATAGAATTACAGCAATTCTGCCTGGGGGTATATGTATATCCCAAAGTACTGAAAGCAGGACCTCAAAAAGATATCGATACATTCATGTCCACAGCAGTATTACTCACAGCTGAAAGACACAGAGCTGCCGGACAGATGAACTGATGAGGGACTATGCCATCTGGTCTGAACAACAATGGATTTTCTGACATGCTACAACACAGATGCACACCAAGAATACTGTAAGCTAAAAACGCCAGTCACAAATGAACAGAGCTCAGGACTCCATTCACAGAAGGTAAGTTTACAGATACAACGGTGGTTTCCAGCGCTGGCAGTGATGGGCGGTAGGAAATGAGGGATTATTTTTAACAGATTCCAAGTTTCAGTCTTGCAAAAATTAAAAGTTTCCTGGGGGTTGACAGAAGTAATGATGGCACAATGTTAACGTACCTAAAGCCACTAAATTGTACACTTCAAGTAATTAGGATCATAAATTTCGTTGTTGGCCCATAATCACAGAACAATTTAAAGTAATACTTCACTAAGATTGCATAAGTAATTCTAATATAGCCCTAATACGCATGCGACAGTCCCGCAATCCTAATTAGGACCTGAGACAACTTGAAATACCTGTGCTGAGGCTGCCTAGAGATAAGGGTGCAACGAAACGGGCAGCACCAGCGCCTGGTACGATTGCAACTGGGCTAAAGGAGGTTGGCAATGAAAACACGGCGGCGTCTAACTGGCAAACACCTTCCCGCAGGAAGCAGTGACTGTGGGTTCTGGAAATCAAACGCAGCGCAGGCTCTGTGAGCGTCTGTCTGGGCTGTGACCTTTCACTTCCTAGCTCAAAGCCAAGGACGGGGCTGTCTGCGCGCGCACAGCTCTCTGCGGCGTTTCAGGACGCTGACGGCGTGGTGTCACTTACTCCCTCCCGGCACGACCCAGGGGCAGCCAGGGCTGGAGAGGAAGGACAAGGGCTCAGGCAGCCGCGAGAGTCCTACGGGCGGCGCCGGGGTGCGGACGGAGAGCTGCAAACGCGTTCCGAGGCCGGGCCGGCGCCCGGCTCAGGCGGCCGCGACACTGTCCACGACAGCCCTGCCCTTCTATGGGGTCCGGGTCTTGGAGACAGGACGGGAGCCCCAGCGCTGAGGGCCGTGGCAGAGGACACGCAGGAAGCGACGCAGGCCGGCGGGCGCGGGCAAGGGGCGGAACCACGCGCGACGCCCTCCCGCCCCGCACGACGCGCGCGGGCCCGAGGCGGGGCAGCCGGGGCAGCGTGCGCCGCCTGGGAAGCAGGGACGACAGCCCCGCGCTCCGTACCCTTGATAATGAGGTGCGCTGAGCTCGCAGTCCCCAGCGAGTCCCTCTTCTTGCCGCCGCCGCCCGAAGCGGCCTCACAAGCCACGGGGGGCTCCGTCCCAGCGCCGCTCATTCCGACCGGCTCCGCCCACCCGCGGCCTCGCCGCGCCTGCGTAGACCTGGGCCCGCCGAGCCGGCGACGCTGGCTGTTGCGTCATCGCAGGGCGACGGACAGTTCCGGGAGGACGGCTGCGGTGAGAACCCTCAGTGGCTGGTGCCGCGCGCCGGGAGGGTGCACGCGCTTGCGGAGTACGTGCTTCAAAAGTAAAGCGCTGAACTCCGTTATTCACCGTTTCCCTGAAAATAAGACTTAGCTGGAAAATAATGAGCCTTAAAAATCAAGAGATCAAAAATGTTAGCCCCGGGGGCTTTCGGGTTAGTTCAGTTGTTTAAAGCGCCTGCTTGGGCAAACCCAGTCAGGGGCAGGGGATGGCAGTTCGATCCCAGGCTCCACGGGCCGCACCAGACCCGCCCTTTAAAAAAAAATCCTCCAATTTTTGGGACCCCGCGAGATATGTCAGCCGTCTAAAGCCACTGCTTGGGCCAGCACGCGTTCATCCCTGGCACCACACGCTGCGCCAGTCCTGCCCCCAGGGTGGGCTGAGCCGGCCGCACGCACGCACGCACGCACGCACGCACGCACGCACACAATGCTAGCCCCAGTCAGCCCATCCTGGCCTTATTTGCCACCACTGTTCTCTTGCTCAGTGGCCACTCTGTAAGGCTTGTAAGGCCAGAATAGAGCAGATTGATTTCTTCACCTGATTAGCAAGGAACCGTGTTTCTTACACAATTTCAACCACTTGTAGTATGTATAACGTAAAATGCATGTAATTATGAAAGGGACCGGTTTGCTGGCTGCTTTGAATTGAGGTAGTTACGAAGAGCCAACCGCAGGGCTGCCCTGTATCTCTTTGCTGCCTTCAGTAAGCTCCATAGCCTTCAGCATGTCTTCTCAGCAAACCTTCATGCCTTTCCCAGAACAGTGCACCCGCCCACCGGCTCCTTACCCTCCTGTGTTCACCTTGTGGTTCTAAGAGTCATCTTGTACTTCTCCCTTTTGTCTTTTTTCCTGAACAGGCCTCATCCTTATGTGCCTCGCAGCCTGGAGTTGAAGAAGGAAAATAAATCATCATTTACCACACAGGAGCTGGAACTCCTGTGTTAGGATGCGGGAAAGGCCCTCACGCCTTTCCCAGTGGGCACTGGGAACGCGGGGTCCAGAAGGGCATCTTCTCAGGGTGGAACAGGCCTGGAGGGAGGAGATGACGTAGTTGGGTGAGTGAAGGAGAACTTGGGGTTTCCTTAGCAGATGAAGTGATAATCCCCAATGCAAAGCAACATAAACCAGATGACCGAATAAAATGTAAACTTGATTAATTGTGAACAATTGGGACTGGTTTTTAGCCTTTCTAGTCTTTAATTTCCTCAGTCTTATAATCAACCTCTAGAAAGTGTAATTCTTTTTAAGCCACTTATTCTTCCCACTTCTAGGTATTATGCTTATTAAGTGCTTTTTGCTCTGCAAAGCAGAGTTTCTTCTGAGATTGTCTTTGAAGAGAGTTTCTGAGACTGTTTTTTTCTCAGTGTCTTTGAACTACTTCTAAGCAACCTGAAAAGGTTCACTATGTACAGTGAAGGTAAGTACTTATGCATTAGTGGGGCTGTTTTTAAAATGCAGTATCTACCTCAGCCAGGTGACCTATGTCTGTAATCCTAGCACTCTGGGCGGCTGAGGCAGGAGGATCACAAATTCCAGTCTAGCCCAAACAACTTGATGACTCAGTAAGACCCTGTCTCAAAATAAAAAGGTTTGGAAAGGCCTGGGTTCAATCTTGAATACAGAAAGAAAAACAAAAAGATAAAAGTGATCCTAGGTTCCACCTCCAAACTTTGCCAGTTGATTGTATATTAAGTGTTAGGAATTCTGGCTCCAGTGGGTCAAACTTTGGGATCACACAGAACTGGATTCAAATTCTGGCTCTACCACATAATTATGGTTGGTGTGTAGGTGTCCCCACCACAGCCTCATGTAGTCATGGTATGGCTTCTGGAGTTTGTGATTGATGATTGTGGGTGTGTGTGCTGCACCTTCCTCTGCATTGCAGGTGAAGGAGGAAAAAAGGTGATCTGCATTGCAATGGAAGGGGGAAAAAAAGGCTGGCTAGGAGCCCCAGCTGCTGCCCCTCTCTTTGCTCTTTTCCACTGCCATGAATGGCTGCTCTGTGCCTTGTGCCACTCTGCCTTGGAGCCAGCTGAGTATGGACTGAAACTTCCACTAACTCTGAGCTAAATAAACCTTTCCTTCTTTAATTTGAGGTGTTGGTTATTTTGTCCCAGCAATGAGTGAAAAACAACTGAGACAACCACCAACCTACAGTTACTTTTCTGTAGAATTACAAAACAAAATTTATCTTGCTGGGTTGTCATGATGGTTAGAGAATACACTTATAAAGCAATTTGTATAGTGTCTGGCCCATGATAAATGCCTCCAAAATATTTTTATTATAATACGCCCTTCTGCCTACTTTTAAAGTACTATATATCCTCCAATTTTACTCACAATTCAAATGTCTTCTACTTAACACTTACAAATGTAAAACATGCCATCACATATCACATACCATGTATTTATCAATCGTCACATTCATCTGAGGAGCCAAGGGGGATAAGTTCCAGAACCTTCTTGGAAACCAAAATCATGATGATCAAGTTCCTTATATAAAACAGTGTACTATTTGGATAGAGCCTATGCATATCTTCCTGTAAACTTGAAACCCTCTCTGCACCACTCCTAATACCCAACACAATGTAAATGTGATGAAAATACTTGTTATACTCATCTAAGGGACATTGACAAGGAACGCTCTGGACAGGTTCAGACACAACCACCATTGCTCCAACTGTGCCATATTGTCAGCAACAATATGATGCTTAGAAAATGTTTGATCTGTAGTTAACTGAATCTGAAGATACAAAACCTGTGACTAAGAAGGGCCACCTGAATTAAAATCCGCATTGCCAGAGGAGGACATGGAAGGTGAGGGAGAAGGGTGTAATCTCCAAAGAGAGCTGCTGTGTGTCCTGCTCTCCCTGTTCACATGTGCAGCACACTGCACCTCCCTTTGAGAGATGAGGTTTGTGGTCCCTGCCCTTAAATCTGGGCAGACCTTGTGACTTGCTTTGGTCTAGAGAAGATGGTGAAGAGATATGTACTGTACCAGTTCTGGGCCCTAAAAGACCCAGCAGCTTTCTACTTTGGCTCTTTTGCCTGGAGTTCAGACTGTGTGGCTGAACAAGGCATCGTGGAAGGCCTGGTGTCATCCCATGTGCAGAGAGGCTGCAGGGATGAGAACTGAAACTAAGAGCCAACACAGGCTGCAGACATTGGAGGGGGCTTTCCTGGGGCTGTCAGCCAGCTCAGTGGAGTCCGCGAACTGCACGCAGTACCAGAAACTGCAAAGTCAACCCATGGTGTTTGGAGAAATAATCATTGGTGGTTTAATCTCCTGTATGTATATGTGTGTATTTAGATCACACCTGCCAGGGCCAGCCAGACAGCTCAGCAGACTAAAGCGCCTGCTTAGGTAGGCGCAGGGACTGGGACTCAATTCCTGGTGGTGTGCCATTCAGAGACTTAGAGGTTATTTTTCATGGGCCCTCTGAATTTAGAAGCCAAATTCTTTACATCACGAAAGCTTACTAAATTGATGGACTTAGTAAAGTCTAGGAAAGCACTGCAGGAAGGGAACACCTAAAAAGAAAGAATTGAATCCTGGTCCCTGTGCTTGCCTAAGCAGGCACTTAGTCTGCTGAGCTATCTCAAGAGCCCTTCAGTTACTTTCTTGTTGTTGGAACAAAATACTGAATGCCAGCAAGTTAAAGGAAGAGAGGTTTATTTCAGCTTACAATTCGTCGAGGTTTCAGTCCATAGTAGGCTGGCTCCAAGGCAGGGAGGATGGCATGGCAGAAGAAAACAAATTTATGGCATAGGAGGCAGGAAGCAGCAAGGGAGGGAGGAAGGATGCACATACATGCACACACACACACACACACACACACACACACACACACACCCAGGCCACCCCCGCAGTGTCCTATCTCTTCTCCCAGGCTTCACCTCCCACCATAAATGTCCAGCTATAAATGCCCTGGTGGACTAATGCAGTGGCGTCACACATGCATGACCCAGTCACCTTCCCGAAAGCCTCAGCTATGAGGGACAGCTGCTAAAGTGATTCATGGTGGCCTTCTGGGTATCAGGATGTGGGCTGCCCATGTGGGAAAGACGATGATGTGCCTGGAAGGTTGGGGTTTGAGCTACATGATTAGCGTGACCTCTGGCAGGAAAAGGACGTCAGGCTGGTCACAGAACATGGTCACTTGAAATGCTGTGATCACCCATGCCTAACAACAGAATCCTAACGAAGGCCTCTGGGGCCTGGAGGGCAGGTGAACTTCCTGGTGAAAGGAAGCCGTGGGTATGAATATTTCACATTTGAGGCCCTCCCAGACCTCCCCCTGTTCAGTTTATCTTGAGAAGGCCCCTTTATAGTAAAACTAGAATTGTAAGTATAGTACTTTCCTGAATTCTTGAAGTTATGTTGGTGAACCATCAAGCCCAAGGACATACAGTTTGGACAGTGAATCAGCAGTGCATGTGGGCTGGCCCCTGGAGCTTCTGGCTCATGTCTACAATGATGTGGCCTTTACTCTTTGAGGTCCATGCTAATGCAAGTGCTGCTCTGCGATTTAACACATTTACAAGGCATGAGCTAAGTGCCTGACAAGTAGGAGTTAATTTAATCTTCATGGTGATGCTTTGAAGGAGATAGTAGGTGAGGAGGTGCAGGTTAGGTGACTACCTGGCTCGGAGGTGGGAGAAGCCACTATTCTTTCTGTATCAGTGTATGCTTGTGATACATAATAATTGTTTTTGTCTCAGGGAGCTGGTCCTTGTGCTTCCTGAGTTTTGCTCATTTTTACTCCTTCGCTTCCCCCTCTCTTCCCTTCTTTCCCAGGATCCACTCTGATTTCCACAGAATCACCTTCCGTCCCTACCATGTCACCTCTCTCTCTGCTCCCCTTGGCTCTATTGATTATATTTTGGATTTCTCAGATTGGAGAAACCACGTGATATTTAACCTTCTGTGTCTGATTTATTGCACTTAGTGCTGTGGTCTCCAGATACATGCATTTTACTACAAATGAGTGCAGTACACCCTCCTTTTTGCTAAGGAGTGCCCCACTGGGTGTATATGCCACATTTTCTTTAGCCTTACGCCTTTCTTTAAAAAATGTATTTGGTACAGGGTCTCACTACACAGCCCAGACTCCTAGTGATCCTCCCATTCTCAGCCTCCCCAGCACTGGGATTACAGGGGTGTGCCACCACTGCTGGTCTTGGTGGCCAGCTCAGGGAAACCAGGGGTGGGGGCAGGGCCAGTGCAGCAATTAGTAGCCATTCACCTTTAATGGACACCTGTTTTTGTGTCAGTCTCTGTGTGAGTGTTTAGCACCTACCTGTGGATGATGAGGCAGTAGGGAAGGCAGATTGGGAGAGAAGGAAGAGAGAATCCATACTAACTTTAACAGACTTGTAGGATTTTCATTAGCAAACACCTAATAGGTATGAATTGGGCACCAGCTATGTGCCAAGCACAGTGACAGGGAATAGTGGCAAACAAGACTTACTAAAGCCCCTTTCTTCTTTCCTCCCTCCCTCCCTCCCTTCTTTCCTTCCTTCCTTCCTTCCTTCCTTCCTTCCTTCCTTCCTTCTTTCCTTCCTTCCTTCCTTCCTGAAGTCTGCAGCCAACCAAGGGAAACAACACTAAATGAATACACAGCTTCCTTTCTGTAATTGTGTTGCTTGTGTGTTGCTTTAAGGCCCAGGATGCGCCTTTCCTGGGAGTGTTTCTAGCCATTTGGTTGTATTGTGCTGTAGGCTGCTGAGTGGAGGTGTTTGTAGGATAGCCAGGGCTATAGGCTTCACCTGGAGTCTTTAAACTGCAGCCCAGACAGCAAAGAAAGAATCCACCAAGAGCAGCATTGCAGTTCTGCTCTGCTGCTGCCTCTTCATCTGGGGTTGGGGCTGCTACAAGTGTCTTTAGCTTTGACTTGCGGAACCTGAGACCCTTGAAGACAAAAGGGACTGTCTACCATCTCCCTGCAGGGTCTGTGTTATCTCCCAGGACTGAGGAGAACTTTCCTGTATTTTTTAAAATAAAACTTGCACTGAGATAACTAGCATCCCATGCACTTGCAAGAAGTCATGGTGGATGTGTCCCTGCAATTTGGCAGGGTTTCCCCCATGTCAGCCCTTTGCAGTGCTGCTCTCATAGCCTGGTGATCAACAGTAATTCAAGACACCAACCAG